AGAAATGGGCTCCAGTGTCTAAGAGGAAGATGATTTTTCACTTCTCTACTATTATGGTTGCACAGGGCTCCTCAACATTGATGTTAAGAAGCAGAGCCTAGACAGGAAGTCCTGGGACCCATCAATCCATAGGAGGTGGCACCCCGCCTTCCACCTGGAGATGGGGGCACTTAGACCTCCAGTGGTTACCTTTGCAGAGAGGGCAAGGTCCTGATGGGGGTTGGAGCTGTCCCCTAGGCTGTCCCCCTTTTGGGCATCCTCTGTGGAAGTGCTCCTCCTGTCCAGAATGGTAGCAAGCTCAGGTGGGGCACTCCCTGAGAGCTGTGATTAGGTCATGGTGTTTCTGATCCTTTTCTTTCTTTTTAGTGATGTCCTGGTTATAGTATACAGACATGGCTAGTTGTATTAGTTGGTCCAATGATTTTTTTCCCCTTCAGCCACAGACTTTTGGAGTTTTCTATGGATATCTGGGGCTGACTGAGTTAGAAATTTATCTTTGAGGAGAACCTCTCCCACCTATGACTCTGGGTCCACTGTGGTAAGTTTTTGATCACAACCTTAAGATGCTGTAGAAAGGTAAGGGGGTTTTCATCAGGGCCTTGTTGTACTACAGTCACCTGAGAATAGTTTAGAGGTTTAACTTTGGCCCTTTTTAGCCCTTCCACTAGAAGATGGGTGAAGTGGCATTGATGCCATTCATCCCCCTCATCATTTTGATCCCAATGTGGGTCTACCAAGGGGTCTGCCTCTGCCCCGATGGGCATGGGCGTATTCATTCCCTCATTTCCAGGTGCCACAGGTATTGGGGGTCATTGTAGATGGAAATTGTCTCCAACTTGAGTGGCCTGGACCAGGACCTGTTGCTTTTCTAATGAGGAAAGAGTCTGGTCCAGGAGAAGCATGATGTCATTCCATGCCAGTTTAAAGGTTTGGATCACAGAAATAAAGGCCTGGATATACTGGTCTGGGGAATCAGTATAGCTACCCAGATCCTTTTTAATCTCCCTTAGATCTGATAACTAGAAGGGGACATAGACTTGCCCTCTTCCTACCACTGCCTTTTGAAGGGGAAACATCCATTAGGAGGCTCTGAATATTTGGGTGGCTCAGAAGGTAGGGCAGGGGGTGGAGCAGTAGGGGTGGGTCTTGTCATTGATAAGGGGCTTTTCTGGTCCTCCTTCCCTGTGTTTATCCTGTGACTTACAAAGAATGGCCAGCATTTGAGTATCTAGATAGCAATTATTGAGCCATTCTGGGTGGTCCTGGAGATAAAAGAAAAGCTGTATATAGGGGATTTCAGTCCACTTTTCCTCCCTTTTACAGAAAATGTCTAATTGGAGTATGGTATTATAATTTAAGGAGCCCCCAAAAGCTACTTCTCTTGATCACCCAGGGGATATTGAGGCCAGGCCTCAGTACAAAGAAAGATGAGGGTTTTTTTTTTTTCTTGAGATTAACAGGGTCAAAGTCCTTCCAACATTTCAGTAGACAGACCAGAGGAGACTGCTTGGGTACTGAGGCCGGAAGACTGGAGGGGTCAAGTAACATCTAGAAAAACTTGTCAGAGTCCCCTTTTGTCTGTGTTCCAACTGGGGATCGATCTAACAAGAACAGGCATCCCTGTCTCATGATTTCCTTCTGCTGTCTGTGGCCAGGACTGAAGGAAATGCAGTGACTGGTAAGATTGCAGCCACCCTTACCTATGCAGTGAAAAACCTCTAGGATCCAAAAGCAGGCAGCCTCCTTAACAAAGGGATGCATCAGCTGGAGAAGTGCCTGTAAAGTTAGAGAAGGGCACTCAGAGGGAGCTCCAAGGCAATCACAGTGCCACAAAGGGATGACTAGTGTCAATATTTGCAGGAAATTTTTTATGCTGAGGCTGAAAGTGTGAGAAGTTTTAAATGAGAAGTCTAGAGACCATAGTAATGCCCATTTTTTGGCTATTCCCGGAAGGTTATGTTATTGCTTCTTGGAGACCATAACTTTGAGATAAGAAGTGGCTCCAAGGGCTGGGTTGTTCAGGCTTGGGTGTGAAGTGGGGTTGGGAGTAGGGCTTGTGCAAGGTGAAGCAGCCCTTCCCCACACTTGGGATGAGCTACCCTGTCAGCCCAGGCTTGCCCTTGAGGCCTGTTCCCCCTCCTCCCATGTACCTGTGCATGCTTATTTTTCCTCTCATCCCTTTTTGGGGGAGTGGCAGGAGGTTGCAGTTGTGGCTGTGTATGGTTGGTGGCTTTGGATGCACACTAGGCCCTTTTTATGGATTGCCTTAGCTGTGGCAGGTGTCACCACTGCATCCAGGTAGTCTGGCAGGACGGGCTGATGTCCCTGGGCATGTGTGTGCTTTTCCCTCCTCCCCTTGTGGTGGTGGGGTTAGGGCGTGTGTGTGGTGCTGGGGGAGGCCCTCAACCCTGCTGGGTCCACCCCTGTGGCCTGTCGTTCTTCCTCCTGTGTGCATTTATTTTCCTTCTTATCTCTTTTTATGGGAGTGGCAGTGGGTTGCAGTCACCACTGCACAGCTGGCAGTTGCAGCATCGGCTCTGGACACCAGCTGGGATCTTCCCAGGGATTGTCTTAGTGTGGCAGGGGCTGCACCCAGGGGGATGGGGTTTGGGCTTACATGTGCCATGGAGGCCTGTGTCAGTCCTCCTCCCTGCTGGGTCTGTCCCTCAGGCTGTGGTTTCATGAGGTGCCTTTGCCTCTGCCAGCACCCAGCAGCCGATTTAAAGCTGGTGTAGACCAAATGGTATGACAAACTAGGTGTGGTAGTAACTCAAGAAAGTCATAAGGTACCATTGTATGAGTTTTCCATGGGAGGTCAGGGTCCTAGTAAGCACAGGGAGGGGAAGGCAGATAGAGATGAAGGACAAAGCGGCAGGACCAGGGAGGGAGCATGTGAGTAAAATTATGTATGCTGCTTGTGGAGGAGCTAGAAGGGGGGACCTGACATCCTAGGTGTGGGAGGGGGAGCAGAGCCAAGAGATAGGATACACACTTGAGGGATTAACGATTAGGTGTGCTTTCAGATTGGTCCCACTAAGTGGTACTGGAACACCATCAGCAACACAAAATCTCCACTCTTGGTCCCTACCTCCGGCAGAAGGGGATATTGATAGGTGGGAGAAGACCACTAAAACCAATCAGGTCTCCTCTAATACAGCATAATGCATACCTGAATAAATCCCAGGCTCGGTCTCGGCTTGCAGGGAGGGAGCCAAAAGCACCCCTAGAGCCAGAATTGCTGTGAGGCCAAAGTTGGCTAGGAGCTGTTGGTTCAATACCATGACTAGAAAGTCCCTCAGGAAGATAGGAACAGAGGGAGAGACAGGGGGAGCAGCACAGGGAAGTCTGCTTTTGGCTAGTCCTCAGCAGGGGGTTCCTCCCAGCAGGCGAATCCAGTAAGCTGGATGCTTAGGGCTGCACCTTAGGCAAACTTTTGGTGGTTTGGTGCTCAAGTCTTTCCAACCTTGGTCCAGAAGCGATGTCCCTTTGTGTGGTCACCAGAAATGTTACATGCTGGTGTGAAATGTTGTGGGCTGGTGTCAAGGGTTCTTGCTTCACAGGGCAGAGAACTGGCTTGTGAGGCAGCTGATTGACTTATGAGACAAAGCTGATACACAAAGTAGGATTTATTAGAGAGAAAGGAAAGGCTACACCTAGAGCAGTGCAGCGGAGTCCAGAAACCAGGGCTCCCTGTTCAGTGAATGCTGGGGCTTTTTATGGATGCTTTAACTCTGGGTTAGGGTGAGGGTTAGGTGGGTTTTTTCCTATTGGCCAGGGATTTGTCTGCATGGGCTCTCTTAGATGAGCTGGTCTGTTTGGCCCTTATTGGCGGTGGCAGTGGGGGGAACAATCTTGGGAGCATTTTGTTTGTAAGCCCTGTGGCAGATTTATGAGCCCCTGTATTTCCTCCTGGGGTGCAGGAATGCAGATTTGTAACTCCTTGTCAGGGTGCAGGGCTCATGGTGCTCTCCATGGGGGATGGGATACTCACTCATCTGTCCTTTAGGTTCCCAGACCCAACAGCAGGAATTCACACAGTTAACACATCCTTAGCTCTAGGCCACTCCCTGACTCATGTTTGGTGCTGTTAAGTGGCACAATCGAAATAAACCAAAGGAGGGTGATCTGGGAGGAGAAAGTGGCTCAGACAGGTAGACATTTAAACTGATGACTGGGTCAAGCAGAGACACGGGCAGTGACTAGAATCTGCCCTTTTCTGGAATGTTTGAAAGAGCTAGAGTTTGCTTCATGGTTGGAGAAGGAAGCATTAACTTGAGGAATGTAAGAACCTGTAGACAGATGGGAGTCACATACAGAGCAGGGCTTTGGAATCAGAGACCAGTCAAATTCCTTATCAGTAAAACAGGAGTGAAATGACAAGTGTCCTACCGAAGCAAAGTAGCGATAGTAACTACTGTTTACTGAGTAATTACAGTCAGCCTGGTACCAGAAAAAAAATTACGTCCATGCCTGAGCTGGTGGCTCAAAGCCTGTAAGCCTAGCTGCAGAGGAGAATCGCTGGCTTTGAACACAAAAAAGCTAGTGGAGTGTCTCAAGTGCTTACCTAGCAAGAGTCCCTGAGTTCAAACCCCAGTGCCGCCAGGAAAAAAAAAAAAAATGCCATTTTTACAGATGAGGCCGAGAGGCTTTGTGACCTGCCTGAGATACAAAGCAAATAAAGTGTTAGCGTTAAGTTTTCAACCCAAGTGGGTGGATCAAATTGTATACAGATGGGACAGGGACCCGGCAGGGGCGAAGAGTGGCTCAAAGGCTAGGGCCATTTAGCATACCCAGGGGCTCAAGAACGTCCGCGGTAAAGGGAGCGACCCACAGCTCCAGTACACATGGCAGCACGTGGGCCCCAGTCGTACCGCCCTCGGTGCTTACGTGCGCTCCGTGACTGCCGGGGCGAACGCGGAGCCGACTACGGGCCCCGCATGCGCACTGGCTCCCGAGCGCGATTTTCCCCCTTCCCCCGGAGGCCGCAGTGTTGGCATGGGGCGCATGCGCACACCTGGCGGGCGGAGGGCGGCCACCAGCGACTGGAAAGATTTGGGTGAGAAAGTGCGCGGGAGCTGGGCGGGGGAACGCGAGCGCGCAGGCGCGGCCGGAGGTGGGCGCATCGACCGGAATCTCGGCGAGCCTCAGTCCGCGTTGCATCCCTAGCCCACTGCTATGGCTGCCTACAAGCTGGTGCTGATCCGGCACGGCGAGAGCGCCTGGAACCTGGAGAACCGCTTCAGCGGTTGGTACGATGCCGACCTGAGCCCGGCGGGCCACGAGGAGGCGAAGCGCGGCGGGCAGGCGCTGCGAGGTAACGGAGCGGGCTGGGTGGCGGTGCGAGGGCTCGAGCTCTGGCCTCCAGGTCCGCTCGAAGACGGCCGGTGCCTTACGCCGGGTCTCCAGTTGGGTTTGCAATGGGGAAACGGGCGCAGGGCGGGGCGTCCATTTGCTCAAGGTCACGCGGCGGAGTGTAAGGGGCTGCGTTGGGAAGACGCAAGGCCGTCGCCCCGCAGCCCTTTGCACTGTCAGACACAGGCTGGCAAAAGTCTCTCTTTTTAGGTTGCCCATTTACTAGTTCGGGGACCAGTTGCCCCGCATGGAGCCACCTGTGGCGGCCAGGCCTTTGTATGGTTTCCGCAGGGCTCTTGGAGGATGTCCGGTGCCGTGCATCGGCCATCTCCAAGCCTTGTCAGGCGGCTGCAGATCCCAGCAAAGGGGCAGGTCACATGCTTGTCCCGGGCATTGGGGGAGTAGGGCCGCGTTGGGGCCTCACTAACATGCTTCAAGACACCAACACATCCGCCCGCCGTGGAAAGGTTTGCATTTCAGCAGCGTACCACAGATACTGTGTCCAGAGCGCACCCAGACGTAGCTGAGGGAATGAATGATTTGAGTTGATGCTACAGCCCTAGAAAGTACGTTGATTTTATTCCCTTCCTTCCCATTTCTTCCTTGGCTCCCTGTTGTAGGTGGGAAGAATGAGAATCGGAAAGATGACTTGTTCAAGGTCATCTACTTATTTCTATTCCAGTGTCCTTGCCCCATTTCTGGGTGGAGTAACGGGTAGTTGTGAGGAATTGGTAGGCTGTTGGCCAAGGACAGAAGCTGGGCAAAGGGTGGACGTGACAGATAGATAGTGCTTGCCTGTTTCCCTCTCCAGGCTCTCCCGCGCAGCAGACTATTTCTGCAAGCTTGGAATGGTAATAAGGAAGCATTCCTGCATTCAAGGAATCAAGATTCACTGAAGAGGTGCTTCTGTTGAGGATTAGGACAGATCCTGCCCTGCTTTTTCTAACCTGGACAAGTAGTCATATAAAAGGGCCGTTGGTGCCTAGTTGATGGGGCCCTGGTATTTGGGCACAGATTACTAGCTCTAGCTTCTTGCCTTTACTGTATTTTATTTTATTTCATTTCATTTCATTTATATTATGTTTTTTAAAATTTTATTTATTTTATTTTATCGTACTGGGGTTGGACTCAGGGCCTACACTTTAAACCACTCCACCAGCCCTTTTTTGTGATGGATCTTTTTCCGAAATAGGGCCTCAGGAACTATTTCCCCTGGCTGGCTTTGAACCGTGATCCTCCTGTTCTCTACCTCAGGCGTGAGCCACCGGGGGCCCTTTTAAAAGGAAGCAAAGCTTTGAAAAGCCTGGGAAGTGTAATCCTGATTGGGGTTGAGGGAGACGCATGTGAATACTTTGTATGACCTGTTGCACCAATCTTACTATTTTTAATTAGAGGATTCCAACACTATCTCTCTTAAAAGAGACTGGAAAAGGGAGTCTTTGCTCCCATTTCCTTTGTGGGGAACAGGAAATGCTTCTCTTTTCTTCCCCCTGTTCCCCTCCTAATAAACTTTACTATTACTTTTACAAAAAAAAAAAAAAAAAAAGAGAGAGAGACTGGAAAAGGAAAGTGCTGGTAAAAGAAGCCATTTTCTGTAGCTCTCTAGCAAAAAGAGCTATATAGGTCTGAGTTGGTTTGCTGATGCTTAGTCCAGGACAAAGTACATTCCCTCTGCCTTCTACCTTAAGATGATCATATGTTTAAAATTGTAATTGCTATAGAATATCAGACTCTGTTTCAGTTTTAAAATATTGGTAGCATTACATTTTAGAAAAGCATATATAAGACCAGGCACACTTGTAATCCTAGCATCCAGGAGACTGAGTCAGGAGGATCTCCATCTCAAGGGTAGCTTAAGCTACACAAAAAGAAAAAGGGGTTCAAGTCCCCCAAAATAGAGGAAAATCAGATATAAATTTTAATGTCTATTATGAGTGTCACAGGTGATTAATGAAAGACTAAATGAAAGCAAAAACTGAGTGATGAAGACCATTATGAACAGTATAGTAATAGAAAAGGTAGATATAGATATATAGAATTCATCCGTGCTTCCTTTGCTAGTAGGGTTTGTACAGTTTTGAATCTAATTTAAGGAGGAAGTTAGAGAACTGAGTTGCTCCATGTAACCTTGGGGCTGAGAAATGGAGGGATTCTCTGAGGAAGAATGGAGTCCATACCTCATGTTCACCCTACCCCTGGGCTTTGTGCTTCTGAAGAAGCTCTATGTTTCTGATCCGTCACCATTCTCTGTTGAGTCCTAGGGCAACTGCTTTTCTCCTTGGGGACACTTTGTGTATTCAGAAACGTTCCATTGCAAGTGGAAATAATTGCAATGAAACAGACTTCAGCTTTTCATCACCGGAGCTGAGCCTTGCACCATGGGTATTCACTTCTGAGTGACTCAGCCTTTTTTTGGAAGCCATTCCTTCCCTTATGGTTGGTTAGGGAGGTAGTGAGGGAAGTGACTGTAACCAAGTCTAGTTAGACTTGTCCCCAAGCTCAGTGATGCGATCTGTTTCTTTCCTCTTGTGGGTGGTGGTGGTGGGTTTCTTGGTGATTAATCTTCCCTTCCCCCATTAGTTGCTTCTTATGAATCTCATTCTCATTTGAATGACTAGTAGGAAAATTCACTTGACATTTTATTAATTACCATTGCTAACCTTAAAATGAAGCAATATCCCAGAAAGTCTGTGCTGAATTTTGAAGGGGACCTTGTAGTGTTGTGGAGAAAAGTGTTTTCCTGGCATACTATGTAAGGAAAAGGCTAGCTCCTCATTCAGATGGGAGGGAAAATAATCTCTCATGATGAAGTAAGACTGACTCATTATAACCTATTGGTCGAGCCAACATAACTCTGATTTGCTAGCCTTCCCCCAAGCCCCACAATAACTACTGTATATAAAGGGGAAATTGGGGAGATCATTTATAAAGGAAGCAGTGCAAAGCATTTGTTCTTTCTTCAGTGAATGGTAAATTTGGTTATAGTCTGGAACTTTGACTGCAGTAAAGAGGAACTACTGATAAAGACCTTCTACACTCAGTAGTTAAGACAAAATTTTATGCAACATGCTAAAGTTTTTTTTTTTTTTTTTTGTGGTACTGAGGCTTGAACTCAGGGCCTTCACCTTGAGCCAGTCTGCCAGCCCTTTTTTTGATGGGTATTTTCAAGATAGGGTCTCAAGAACTATTTGCCTTGGGCTGATTTGGAACTGCAATTCTCCTGATCTCTGCCTCCTGAGTAGCTAGGATTATAGGAATGAACTACTGGTGTCTGGCAACAAGCTAAAGTTTTATCAGCATTCTCTAAGAACTCTGTATCCTTATTGTTAGAATTTTAAAATCCCACTTTTCCAAGACCAGAGGGGCTGGGTGTGTGATAGTGCACAGCTGTAATCCCAGTACTTGGAATGCTGAGGCATCTAAAGTTCCAGGCCAGCCTGAACCACATACGTAGCAGGACCTTGTCTCAAACAAGTTGCATTTTGGAGTCATAGTGCCTAGATTTTATTTATTTAGGCAGTACTGGGGCTTGAACTCAGGGCCTATGCCTTGAAGGTTTTTTTGTTTTCTCAAGATAGGGTCTTGAGAACTATTTCCCCGGGCTAGCTTTGAACCTTGATCCTGAGCTCTGCCTTCTGAGTAGCTAGGATTTTAGGTATGAGCCACTGGCACTCAGTTAATGCCTAGTTTTAATCTGTCAAATAAAGGCTGTCACCTTGGATATTTTTGTTTTCCTCATTGTCAGAGTTGTAAGAATTATAAGCTCATAGGACTTTTATGAAGACTAAGTAAAGCGTACAAAGTATTTAGTCCAATGAGCAATGGTAAGCCCTTGTGAACTGTTAGCCATTATTATTTAGAAAGAGATTGCAAGCTTTTAGTATCCTTTTCCCTACAGAAGTGAAGCAGAAATAAATTGTAAAAATGTGGTTGAGTACAGCATTCTGGAGATTAGCATAAGCAGCACAGACCTTAGGTTAGCTGGTTCACAGTGCACTAGGCTTTAGGGTAAGTGAATTATTGGGGAACCACTTAAAAGTGTACCATCATCTATAACATAAAGTCAACATATGTTCTTTTCCTGGAAGACAGTATTTACTGCAAGAGTATACAAAATAAGCTGGGTACTGGTGGCTCACACCTGAAGTAATCCTACTTACTTAAGTGGCTGAGATCAGGAGGATCACAGTTTGAGGCCAGCCTGGGCAAATAGTTCATGAGACCCCCATCTCTAAAATAACCAAAGCAAAATGGACTGAAGATATGGCTCAAGTGGTAGAGTACCTGCTTTGCAAGCATGAAGCCCTGAGGTCAAACCCCGGTCCCACCAACAAAACAAAACAAAATACTTGGCCAGATAGTTTCCATTTGAACTACCAATGTCAGATTTATGTGTGAAAAAATTCTGGTTTAGGGGATCTGATCAACTTATCTCTTGGCACTTTTAATCTCCAGATGCTGGCTATGAATTTGACATCTGCTTCACCTCAGTGCAGAAAAGAGCAATCCGGACCCTCTGGACAGTGCTGGATGCCATTGACCAGATGTGGCTGCCAGTGGTGAGGACTTGGCGCCTCAATGAGCGGCACTATGGGGGTCTCACTGGCCTCAATAAAGCAGAAACTGCTGCAAAGCATGGTGAGGCCCAGGTAAAGATCTGGAGGCGCTCCTATGATGTCCCACCACCTCCAATGGAGCCTGATCATCCCTTCTACAGCAACATCAGTAAGGTATGGGCAAGCCCAGTTTGGTCACTCCACCCAGTATCAAAGGGTTAGAATTTGGGCCTCATTCATTTTAACTTTTATTAGTATCTGCCTAGTCCCACTGAGCTTATAATTTATGATAAAATAGTTAATATAGTCCTCCCTTTGCCAAAGAACGACTTTCACTTGTTGTAAGATTTAGTTGATAGTTTATGTTACATATCTGAGAAAAATTTCTCCTTTTTTATATTTCCATTGTTATGTTTTATAAAACCCATTCAGAGCCTTCCTCAGCCAACCACAAGTTAAGTGGAATTAGGACAACCTTGTTGCTTAAGTTTTCCCTCCTCTTTTCTAAGTTAAATTTCTTTGAGGGGCAGGGTAATGATACCCTTTCCCAAGATCTAAGGTGCATTCTGGATCCTGATGAGAAACCTTCACCTGTCATTTGACCCCTTAGGAGATGAGGAATGGACAGAATGTATGCACTGTGAAAGTCGTTTGATGGATAATTGCTGAACTTGGAAGTTTTCTTTGTTGCTTAGGATCGCAGGTATGCCGATCTTACTGAGGATCAGCTACCCTCCTGTGAGAGTCTGAAGGACACTATTGCCAGAGCACTGCCCTTCTGGAATGAAGAAATCGTCCCCCAGATCAAGGAGGGGAAAAGGGTCCTGATTGCAGCCCATGGCAACAGCCTTCGAGGCATTGTCAAGCATCTGGAGGGTACGTGCTTTTTTTTTTTTTTTTTTTTTTAAAAGAGGAGCCCTTAAAAGGATAACAAAGCAGAACTGCCATTCATCAGGGACTTAGTGCAAAGGCCTTCAGGAAGGGCTGACATACTGATAAGTCTTAAAGACAGTCTATCTAGGTTGACTCCTAGTAAAGTAACACCTTATATCTCTGTTTCTTAAAATGCTGCAGAGCAGTGACAACTGGACATTCTGAGAACTAATTTTACATGCAGACCCTCAGGTCCTATACCAGACTCAATTGGGAATTGGCATCTATCTCCCCAGTTATTTGACACACATTGAAGATTGAGATGCCCACGTCTAAACTAGGATTGCTAATTGAAGCTGCTGGTAAAATCCTTAGTCACAACTTCACACACAAATCTCAACTTGCATGTTAAGTTGTTTCACTCCTGAGGACCTAGAAGCCCGAAAGTGCTGATTTTTGGCAGATGGATGGACTACATCAGGTATCAGATTATAAAATCAGTCCTGCTTCACTGTAGGCTCCAGATCCCACTTTGGTAGGGATATCTGTAGTGTACATTTTTCTGTAGTTTGTTGGTTGGTCCATCATGAATCGTACATACTTTTCCATACTTTTTCTCGCTTTTTAGTTATTTGAGAAATTGGAACTGGGGGCCAATTCCTTAGGGCATGGATCTACCATTACATAGATCACAACTACTACTAAATAGATCGGAAAGGGTCTCTTGTTTTAACTTCTCCCAAAGTGCTTTGTTACTGACAGATGAAGAATAAACCTTCAGGGGTGATGTGGACTCATACCTTGTATGGCTGAACATGGTGACTATTTTCAGGTCTGTCTGAAGAGGCCATCATGGAGCTGAACCTGCCAACTGGTATTCCCATTGTCTATGAATTGGACAAGAACTTGAAGCCCATCAAGCCCATGCAATTCCTGGGGGATGAAGAGACTGTGCGTAAAGCCATGGAAGCTGTGGCTGCCCAGGGCAAGGCCAAGAAGTGAAGGCCAGCCAGCTGACTGTACCCCAAGAAGCACCCTCCCTGCCCATTAGTTCCTCTGCACCTCTCACAATGACCACATCTGTAGGATCTTAAGTTGTAGCTGCAGATGGGTATTGGTGGCTCTCATTTGCATTTTTTAGCATTTTGTCTCCTGCACCCACTCTCTTCATAGGATCTAGGCAGAACAGCACCTCTGGGGCACAGGTTTGTAGTCTGAGCCAGGGAAAGCTCTTCTTATCCAGGAGAGTTGAGATAATAATTCCAGTTTTTCCTAGAGCTTTACCTACTAAGGACCTGCTTGAGGTAGGGGCTTAGGGAGGAACAATGCTGAGGCATGACCAGTAAGAAGCCAGAGAGCCCACTCATGTTCCTATAGAAGATAGTCCTGTGCTCTTACAATTATAACTGTCTGGGGGTTCTAGTCTTTCCCATGGAAAAATGAATGTAACCTGCATGGTGACTTAACTTTCTCCTCCCTGAGCCCAGAGTTACTGGCTCCAAAAGATTGGGATCAATCCTGAATTATGTTTATGTGTTACTTTTACAAAAAAAGATTTACATATATACATATAAATAATACTGGTAAAAAACCCTTCTAGGGTTCCTAGTGGCGGTTGAAATAGTCCCATATGTGGTCACCAGAAGATAAGTCATTCCTCACACCAATATGGGATAAACTCCTTTGGTCTCTAAGGGGCAGGAGTGCCTCTTATAATCCCTCTGTGTGTACTTAGAATCCCTCCACTGTCTTGTTTTGTGGCAGTGAAAAGCCTCTTGATCATGTAATGTCCAGTGTGTCTTTCACTGTGTCTGATTTCCAAGTCATGTTCCAGTTGCTTGGCTATGCCACATGGGTCCGGTACTCATTTTGAGCATAACTGTACTAAATCTTTTTTTCCAGATCAGTATAATAAAGGAGTGATGTGCAATATTTTCCAGTGTGATGTGTTGTACCTCTCATTTGAAGAAACCTTAGCATTCAGCTTGAAATGTCTCTTACGACATTCCCAAGCCCTTCTGTGACATATAGCCATTAGATCCTGACAGTACTAGTAGTCTCTGTAACTTGTACTATGAGTCTTGACTAAAACTGTCTTTTAGCAGGAAAATAGCAGAAAGTCAGCATCAGCTACCATTACTACTAGGCAACCAATTACTGGACCTTTAAGACAGCACCTCACCCTGGAGCACATCATAATCAAACATTTGCTCTGAGCTCACTCCTTGAACTCAGGGCACTGGTAGGACTAGGGCACTTGGCTTTTTAAAAAAATTTTTGGTAATACCGGTGTTTGAACTCAGGAGCTTGCACTTGCTAGGCAAGCACTCTGCCACTTGAGCCACACCACCAGCCCTTTTTTGTGTTGTGTATTTTTGAGATGGGGTCTTAAAAACTATTTTCTAACTGCCGTCCTCCTGATCTCTGCCTCCCAAGTAGCAAAGATTACAGGCATGAGCCACTGGCGCTTGGCTCTTTCTTTGAACCTTTAATAGGCAGTTTTAGAGTGTACCAACAGGCTGAGAACCATTATTCCAATGTACAGAAGGAATAGCCTCAGCAGGGCGCCAGTACACGCTTGTAGTCCTAGTTACTTGACAAGGGATCGGTTGAGGACAGCCTGGGCAAAACAGTGAGACCTCGATCTCAAAAATATAAAAACAAAGCAAAACCACCCCCCCGCCAAAAAAAGCCTCAGCTTCCTGGTTTTCTGATGCCAATTTCAGATTAGCAATCTGTTGCCATTCAATGTTCCCTAATACTGGGCATAGCTGCTCAGTTAGGTATGAGAACACCCATTTGGAATTTTTATTGAGCATTGCTATAAGTTAAGTCACAATACTGGGTCCTGGGGCATTCAAAGGTAAGCCAGAATCTTGCCTGAAAAAGAGTTCAAGCTGACTAGAAGAGATGCCTGTAACACAATATCTGATGCTTATGGGTGAGGAAATGTAGCCTGGTTTGCAACAGATCAAGGAAGTCCTATTACCTCGTTTCAAATGCTCTTTGGAAACTGATACATAAAAAGTAATATATAAGGAGTAAAATGGGCACCACCCAGCCCATCTCTTCAACCTGTACCATGAAAATGTTAGGTACCCTAGTGAAGTCTACATTACTGTAGCTAGAAACTACTGAGATAGAAAGTAAGTCAAGCTGGGTACAGCTGTGTTCCATTAGATAAAAGGGAGACACACAGTAATACATAATGATTCAAATAAAGCATGAGATAATAGCCCAGGGTAAATCATATTGTTTGGGTGAACAAAAAAGGCCTTAGTCACTTTATATATTACTGTTTTTACCCTGGTGCTGGAGATCAAACTTACAGGCCAGCACTACCACTGAGCTACATTCCCAGCCGTTTTTAATTTGTGATACTTAAAAAAAAAAATTACGCTCTGAAAATACAAAACTTTGTTTACTTATGTTCTGTCCTTGTCTTTCTTCACTAGAATGTAAGCTCTGTAAAGGTGGATTCTATCATGTTCACTGCTTACTTCCCATTCCTAGAACAGCAGTAGGCTGTTGCATATGTACTTACGATGTTCAGCAAGCACTGATGAATAATGAGCCAGTATTGAGAGCCTCTGAGTTTCCAGTCAACACTGCATAAAAGAGGCACTGTGGCACAGGTGGAGAGCCTTTCAGTGAGGCCAAGCTGGATGTGAATGCTGCTATGTGATGGCTGTGTGACTTGGGCAGATACTATAATTTTTCCATGTCTTAGTTTATTCCTCTGTAAAATATGGAAATAATTACTTCCTAGGGTTACTGTGAAGTTCAGAAATAAGTAAAATGGCTAATGCCAAGAGATTATTAAAATCTCAAAATTTAAGGTGTGCAATTTATTTATTTATTTATTAAAGAGATGGGGGTCTTGAATGGATTAAGAAAATGTGGTATCTATACACAATGGAATTTTATGCAGCCATGAAGAAGAACGAAATGTTATCATTCACTGGTAAATGGATGGAGTTGGAGAACATCATTCTGAGTGAGGTTAGCCTGGCCCAAAAGACCAAAAATCATATTTTCTCCCTCATATGTGGACATTAGATCAAGGGCAAACACAACAATGGGATTGGACTTGGAGCACATTATAAAAGCGAGAGCACACAAGGGAGGGGTGAGGATAGGTAAGACACCTAAAAAATTAGCTAGCATTTGTTGCCCTTAACGCAGAGAAACTAAAGCAGATACCTTAAAAGCAACTGAGGCCAATAGGAAAAGGGGACCTTGAACTAGAGAAAAGGTTAGATCAAAAAGAATTAACCTGGAAGGTAACACACACGCACAGGAAATCAATGTGAGTCAACTCCCTGTATAGCTATCCTTATCTCAACCAGTAAAAACCCTTGTTCCTTCCTATTATGGCTTATACTCTCTCTACAACAAAATTAGAAATAAGGGAAAAATAGTTTCTGCTGGGTATTGAGGGGGTGGGGGGGAGAGGGAGGGGGCAGAGTGGGTGGTAAGGGAGGGGGTGGGGGCAGGGGGGAGAAATGACCCAAGCCTTGTATGCACATATGAATAATTAAAAAAAAAAAAGAGATGGGGTCTCACTATGTTGTCCAGGCTGCCTCTGAACTACAGGGCTCAGGAAATCCTGCTGCAGCCTCCAGAGTAGCTGGGAATATAGGTGCTGTGCATTCTACGTCCAGAAATGTTTTGCAAAAGAAACACAGGCAATGCCAGGTGCAGTGGCTCATGCCTGTAATATCAATCACTCAGGAGGATTGTGGTTCAGACAGTCCAGGTAAAAAGCTGGGGAGACCCCATCTTAACTGATAAGCTGGGCATGATAGTGTACACTTATAAACTTAGCTATGTGGAAGGAAGTAGGTAGTCTGTGATTTGAGGCCAGTCCTGGGCAAAAACTCAAGACCCTATCTGAAAAAATAAAGCAAAAAGGGCGGGGTATATGCCTCAAGTGATAGACAGCTTGCCTAGCAAGCATGAACCTTGAATTCAAACCCCTACACCTCCAAAAAAATAAAAGAATCATAAGCATGTACAAAGATAAGTGTATAATAGTTTTCTTCACAGCATTGTAATAGAAAAACTGAAAGCTTCAAAATATCAATAGAGAACCAATGGAACATACCTCAAAGTGTCTAGCATAAAGCCCTGGTATCCTGGTATTTAGTAGATACCTGATAAAGGTGATCAGATATATAATGATGACAATACTAGCATAGTATGAGTTTTTTTTTTTTTTTTTTGGTAGGACTGGGGTTTGAACTCAGAGCTTTGCACTTGCAAAGCAGGCACTCTACCACTTGAGCCACACCTCCAGATCATTTTGGTCTGGTTATTTTGGAGATGGAGTTTCACAACTATTTCCCCAGGCTGGCCTCAAACCGTGATCTTCCCTATTGCAGTTCAGCCTCCCAAGTAGCTAGGAATATAGGTGTGAGCCACCAGTGCCTGCCCTCTGAGCATTTCTTCTGAGTATTTCTTCCTCATAATAATCCTATAAGATCATTCTATTCAGATGAGGAAACGGACTGAAACAGATAAAAAAATAAATTGCTAAACATCAGTATCAACATCTTGGTTATGGCTGGTGTGGTAGCTCATGCCTGTAATCTTAGCTACTCAGGAGGATCAAGGTTCAAAGCCAGCCCCAGGCAATTAGTTCTGGAGACCCTATCTCAAAAAACCCATCACAAAAAAGGGATGGTGGAGTGGCTCAAGTAGTAAGAATGCTTGTTTAGCAAGAATGAAGCCCTGAATTCAAACCCCAATGCTACCAAAAACCCAAAACATCCTGGTTATTATAATTTGTTTCTTATGTTGTACTGGGGGTTGAACCCAGGGACTCCCACAAGCTAGGCAAGTGATCTATCACTGAGTGATACCCCAAGGCTAATATTTGCAAAATGTCACCAGTGTGGAAAACTGGGCAAAGGGTACAAGGGATCTCTGTAATATTATTTTGTCCAATGCTGGGAATTAGTCCCAGGGCTTTGTGAATGCTAGGATGTAGCTCAGTGGTAGAGTGTATGTCTACCATAACCCCAAATAAACAACAACAGAAAACTGCATGTGGACCTACAGCTACCTCAATTAAAAATATTGAGGGCTGGGGTAGCTCATGCCTATAATCCCAGGTTCTTGAGAGAAGGATCAAGGTCTGATCTCATGTTCTAATCCTTGCCTAGCCACCTCTGGTGGTAGTGCTCTGTCCCTCTTTTCAATTAAGATTTAACAAACATTTCCTAGAATCCTCACTCTATCAGTAATTCTATTTTTACCAGCTCTTTTCAGAACTACTCACACTATCTGGATCACCACACATCCTATATTTTTACTAAACTGTAATATTTGTAAGTGAGGGGTATATACTAGGTCCTTGACCCAGTGCTTAGCACCTAGGAAGCAGAAGCACACAGAATACAAAACTTACAAGAAAATGAAAGTCAATCAGGCATTGTTGTCAGTTAACGACTCTACAAGTCAGGACACCATTTAGATTCCTTTCCCTATTTGAGACAACAGAAACTATAAAACCTTTTTAATAAAAATGTTTTCTTGATCACAGTAAAAAATACATTAATCAGGACTGTCAGAGGAATAGGCTATTTCTAACATTACAGTTTTGTTTGCTGGGGCCTCCAAAAGAAAAATTTCATCATTCAAGAGTGAAATTCACTAAAAGGTTTCACAAGAATAATGTTCTAAACACAGAATAAATTTCTGGCAAATGTTTCTAAGGTGGTTGCTGACTGACCCCAGGTATCTGAATAAAGACCAAGACATCCTTATGTTATTTCATACATATACTCTCGGAAATAGCTTACCCCCTCCTTGGGGTAAAATGTGCTTCCTAGGTCTGTAAGAATTCAGGCTGTACTCGGGCCACTTTCCGGAACTCTTTTGTGTGGGTCTTAGGGCACTGCATTTCACACCAGCTGATGGGAATCATCTGAACACCTAGAAGAAAAAAGCCAGTGTTGAAGCTAGGACCCCAAATATTTCCTGTGACCCTTTTATTTTCAGTTGGGTAAGAAACTTAGGTGTTGGGCTAGAATGTGGCTTAGTGGTAGGGCACTTGTTTACCAAGAGCAAGGCCATGGGTTCAATTCCCAGCACTAAAACAAGAAGCTTCACCTAGTGAAACCCACCTCATATAGAAAAAGTCTTGTTTATTCCACTGCTTTATGGAGTGAGCTCCGTCTCCTTAGACTTAGGAGAATCATTCGAATCTCAGCGGTAAGCCGTCATACTGTGCTTACTAATGATGGGTACCTTGTCCTGAGAAATGTAACCTCATCATGGTGCAAACATAAAGAACATTTACACAAAGTAAGATGGCTACAGCATCACTAGGCAATACATCTTGAGTTTTTTTAGTGCTGGGGACAAAACCTAGGGTCTTACATGAATACTAAGCACACGCTCTGCCACTGAGCTGCACTTTCAACCCTAGGTGACCCACCATTATACATGCTGTCCATTTTTTTTTTTTTTTTGTGGTACTGGGGCTTGAACTCAGGGCCTACACCTTGAGCCACTCTACCACCCCCTTTTTGTGATGGGTTTTTTCAAGATAGGGTCTCTTGAACTATTTGCCCATGCTGGCTTCGAACCACGATCCTCCAGATATCTGCCTCCTGAGTAGCTAGGATTATAGGTGTTAGTCACTGGTGCCTGGCCACCCTGTCCATTGTTGACCAAAATGTTTTGTATCACGTGACAGTATTTATACTTATATTGCATCTCAGATAATTAAAAAACAAGGAAAATTAGGAAAAACAATGAATTACTCCTATACTGCAGTTCCCAGGGAAAAGCAAGGATTGTGAAAGCTTGGATCAAGTCACCTGATTCACTGTGGGCCACCACTACTCCTAGCTCATTTTCGGCAGTGGTCAGCAGGTAGTTGGACTGTGCATCACCTAGGGAGATCTAGCAAAACACTTGTGAAGGAAAATGTGGGTTTTTAAGTATCACAGCTATTTGAATTGTTTCTCCACTTCCATTTCTTCTTTCAACAAAGAACCAGAAGTCTGCTGGAATAAAGGCTACCACTTTTTTTTTTGGTGATACTGAACTCAGGGCCTCACATCTCCTAGGCAGGTACTGTATTACTTGAGTCACTCCGCCAACTTTTTTGGGTTGGGTATTTTTTTTTTTTTTTAAGTATTACAAATACTTGCATTAAAAAACCCAAAACCACAATATTTATCAATTGCCTAAATGCTCAGGCAATATGTGTGCAGTACTTCACCTATATTATTTTAATAATTCAAAACAGAGGGGTATATCCTATGAATCCATTGCAAATTATTTTCAGTACTTCCTGTCATGGCATTTTTCTTGCATTTTCTCATTTGCAATTCACGTCTCTGAATTACAGAGCTTATTTTCAGTTGTAAGCACTGAAGTTCACAGAGGCATAAGATTGTGAAATTAAACTTACTGTTCTTTACAGATATCCTTAGTCCAAGATTATGTAATTCTGCCTTTAAGAGTAGTTTTACCTGAGACATCTCACAGAATTGCTGAGCCTGAGTTTTCTAATGAGTGTTCTAAACAAACATACAGAGAATTGTCTTTCTGCTCCATTGTGTTATTACAGAAATTAAAGTACCAGGTATTTTTTAGATAGGGTCTGATGAACTATTTTCCTGGGCTGGCTTCAGACCATGATCTTTCTGATCTTTGCCTCCTGAGTAAAGTTAGGATTACAAAGGATACCACTTTGGCTAAGACAATGTCACCTGGGCGGAAACTCTTATAAATTTCAACCTGCAAAGAAACAACAGAAATGTTAAGTGAAAGCTCTAGATTACATCTATGTGAAACTATTAACCCCCAAATAGAACCAAACTACTTTCTAATCCCAGGTAGATGTAATCATTACTCGAGTCAGTTAAGACTTTTTTTTTTGTGGTATTGGGATTTGAACTCAGGACCTACACCTTGAGCCATTCCACCAGCCCTTTTCTGTGATGGGTTTTTTCAAGATAGGGTCTCAGAAACTATTTGCCTGGGCTGGCTTCAAACCGCTGTCCTACTGATCTCCTGAGTAGCTGTGATTACAGACATAAGCCACTGGTGCCCAGTTAAGACGTTTATTGATTCTATTGACTCGTAAAGAATAGGCAGAAATGGCGGTCTGTGTCTGTAAACCCCAGTATCCAGAAAGAAAAAGATGCAGGCAGGAGTTCCAGGCCACCCTAGGATACACAGCTATATAGCAAGGCCCTGTCTCAAAACACCAAAAACAAACAAAACAATGCCCCCCCTCAAAAAAAAAACCCAAAAAAACTAGTTTCATTTTGTTTAACTGAATGAAGAAAACTCACCTAGAAAGGAAAGGGATGGTGAAGTGAATTCCATTTATAGCAGGAATGTATTAACTTTCTTTGACTCTACATTCCTATGGTCTTTGGAATTCATTGGGATAATTTCCCCCCACTTCGGTGCTGGGGATCAAACTCAGAAGTGGGCCTTGTACATGCTAGGCAAGTGCTATACCACCAAACTACATCCCCAGACCTCACTGGGATAATTAAAAAAAAAAAACCCAAACCAACCAACAACCTTGTCTTTCTCAGTTGCTCGGACATCTTCCTTGCTATTAAAAAAAAAAAAAAAAAAGAATTAACATGAAGATTAATTAACTGTGAGAAAAAATTATCCTGCAGGTTCCTAACAAAGAGCTACAAGAGCAGACAGAACAAGCCATGATGGGGATCCAGCTGCTACCCCGGGATGCAGGGTAGAAAGACATACTTGATATGCACTGAGAGGAGAAAACATTTACTTGTTCTAGGACCACACAGAGCAGCAGTATCGATACCTTTGAGTAGGGAAAAGCAGATCAGATTTGGCAGGAAAGGATGAGGAATTTTGCTACTTTAAGAGAACTTGAACAGAGGCATTACAGAACCACATGGAATCCTGAGGCTGGAAAGGTCCTTAAAAGTTAAATTATCTGCCATAATTGTTTGTCCTTTTCCAAGAGTCCACTGAAAAGGCAAACTATTATTTCACCCACAAAGCTTTTTGATGTCTTACAAACTTAGAGTTTAATCTATATTAAAGAAAAAATACACAATTCTTAAAATGCTTTCTACTTAATTTGGTCTGGCTTCATCCTGACACTGCTAATCTTCAACTTCCCTCTTTTTGCTTTAATTTAAAATCCTTTCTTATTCATCTTTTCTTTTTGTCTTAACTTGTAGACCATTTTCTCTGGATACCATGGGGGAAGAGCTGATGCACAAAGGTAAAAGTAGGCCTGAATAGAAATTATAATTTTTGCTAAAAACTCTAGTCTACCTATCTTTGTCTTATGCCAGGTGCTGAGGCAAATGTGAAGACAAGAATACTTCTTACCGAATAGTTCCTCGAAAAGAATTTTTAAGTGGTGTGGACCCCACGTATAAGATGTGTACTTTGGCAAAACGAGAATTGATGCTAGAGACCTGAGGAATAAAGGGAGAGCATCAGACCATTAGCAGCTGTTAGTTCAAGGAAGCAGCAGTAAACTAGGAATTAACAGGATTTTAATCCAAGCAACCCTACAAATAGAATTGAAGACAAGCTAATTCTTACTTATATTGGCTTAAGTGATATCTATGAACTGAGAGCCACAGTGCCAGAGTGGAGGTTGGCTCAAGCAGTAGAATACTTGCTTGCAAGGGCAAAGCCCTCAGTTCAAACCTCACTCCCACCAAGAAAAAAAAAAAGTGGTATTTTAACTTGGTGCCAGTGACTTACACCTATAATCCTATCTGAGGCTAGGCTGAGATCAGGAGCATCAAGGTTCAAAGCCAGTGTGGGCAAATAGTTCATGAGATCCATCTCTAAAATAACCAGAGCAAAATGGACTAGAGATGTGGCTCAAGAGGTTGAGCCTGCTTTGCAAAGCAAAGTTCAAATCCCAATCCCACCAAAAAAAAAAAAAAAATATATATATATATACATATATATATATATAGACTTGTATATAAATATACAAGTCTAAGCCAGGTATGGTGGTGGATGTCTGTAATCCCAGTTACTTAGGATGTTGAGGCAGGAAGATTGAGAGTTTGAGGCCAGCTGGGCTACACAGCAAGTTCCAGGCCAGCTCAGGCAACTTAGTGAGAACATGTCTCAAACCCTACCCGCCACCCCCAAATCTAATAAAAATAGACACAGAGCAAGACAGAAATCTAGATCTTTAACAGCTATTACTAAGAAGTCTGTATAATGGATAGAGTTTAAATCTACATTTTAGGGTTCAAGTGGTAGAGTGCCTGCCTAGCATATGAAAGGCTCTGAGTTAGTTTTTTTTTTTTTTTTGGTGGTACTAGGGCTTGAACTCAGGACCTACACCTTAAGCCACTCCACCAGACCTTTTTTGTGATGGTTTTTTTTCGAGATAGGGTCTTGTGAACTACTTGCCTGGGCTGGTTTTGAACTGTGATCCTCCTGATCTCTGCCTCCTGAGTAGCTAGGAGATTAAAGATGTGAGCCACTGGTGCCCAGCATATATATATATATTGGCAGTATTTGGGTTTGAGCAAGGCCCTGAGTTTAAAACCCAGTATCACAAACAAAAAAATTCTACATTTCAGCTGCTACCTATCATTTGGATCATTGCCTCTACAGCTGTTTTCAGAGTAACAGGTGTATTTTCTTCTGGAGTAATTTATTGTTCTTTTTTTTTGTGCATGCTAGGCAAATGCTCTACCACTGAGCTACATCCTCAGCCCTCTTATGGACTAATTTATAAAAGGAGAAACTGAGAGCTACAAATAACTTTATCTGGCAGAGGATGGGGATAGACAGGGAGTACTAACATGTTACAGTCATTGTTTAGTACAGCATTGATTTGTATCTCCACCCAAATACCCTAAAAGACTTTAAATTTAACAGGAATATTTGAGAATAAGGTATTTTGTTTCTCTACAGAAAAAGGTCTTAAATTAGGATGTTCAAAAATTAGGCTTCCTCATTGCCCTTTGGCACTCATTTCCCAGACATAAGTATAAACTACATACTAAGCAGCTGCCTCAGTGAAAGAGCTATGCGTGCCTGTACTTGGCTGTCTTGATCATTATACTAGAACTCTCTAGATCTCTAGATCTGCATAGTCTAATAAAACTGGTTTTTCAGACAGGGTCTTGCTATATAGCCCAGGCTGGTCTTGAATTTGTACATACCTCCTATTGGTATGTACCAACACGTCCAGCTAGTAAACCTTTCTGCAATGATAGAAATGTCATGTGCTGGGGCTGTAGCTCAGTACTGTTAATAGTGCTGGCCCTGCACTCAAGGCCCCGAGTTTGCTCTCTCGTACTGGCCCCTCCCAAAAGAAAGAAAGTCACGTGCTGCCCAGTATGACAGTCACAAATCACAGCTGGCTACTGAGTGCCTGAAATGTGGCCAGTGTGACTGAGGAAATGAATTTTTTAATATTCTAATTTAAATGTAAACTGGGTATAGTGGTGCATGCATGTAGTACTAGTACTCAAGAGGTGAAGGCAGGAGAATTTCATGTTTGAGACCAGGCTGGGGTACACAGCAAGAGCCCTGTTTCAAAAATAAATAAATAAAATAAATTTAAATATATATATGTAGCCAGCAACTACCGTATTGGTCATTACACTCCTAGAATGGTAAAATGTAATTCTAGAATAGTATATTAAGCAGAGATTAGGATCAATTTACCTTACAGGTGACAATAGCTCCCACATCTGGAAGTAGTTGGGACTCTGTTTCTCTCATCACGGATATCACAGGAAGCTATAGAGAGAATAAAAAAAAAAGAATATCCTGGCTAAACTCTGGGTAAAGATATTTGTGACTTTAGAGTAATATAGGAATGTCTTGGGGACACAAAGGCTGGTGGACGATGGATTCATTTATAGACTAGAACCAAGGACATCAGAAATTTTAGGAAATAGGAGGACAAGGGGCCATAGGAATAATGTTGCTAAAAGCTGGGCATGGTGGCTCATACCTGTAATCCCAGCTACTCAGGAGGCAGAAGCAGGAGGATCTCAAGTTTGAGGCCAGCCTGAGCAAAGGTAGTGGTGAGACAATGTCTCAAAAACAAAATAAAACCAAAAGGGCTGGGGCTCAAGTCATAAAGCACTTGCCTAATAAGGCCCTGGTTCAATTCCAGAAAGGGAAAAAAATGCTGCTAGAAGACCTAATCCAACCATTCCAGGTTAATTCTGCAAGTGTTTTGATGATACTCTTGGAACTTCTTGGTATACAACCATACTGCCTGCCTGTAATTATGGATAACTTGACTCTTCCTCTGAAATTATACTGCTTCTGTTTCTTATTTCATTACATAAGATAGAATTTCCAAATAAATGTTATATTATTATTATTTTTTCTGTTTTAAGGAAATATTCAGTTTTCTCTTTGAACATGGTATTGGCTGTTGGCCTAAGAGACATTTTTGGTCTTGTCTTTTTATCAATCTCTCCCTGGCTCACTATACCTAAGTTCTTTTGGTCTCTTTCAGTTACCCCACCATACTAAATTCTTCCCATTTTAAAACCTCTGTTCAACCTGTTCTTTATACCAGAACTGCATTCTCTCCACCCATCCATCTTTAATTTATTCTTAGAGGACTGGGCCTAAGTATTATTTCTACTATCCAGGGCAGTGGATGGGTGGTAGCCTGTTACAGTTTTTCATGCTACCAGGCAACATTCTTTCACAGCAGTCGTTACATTTGTAATTATATACCTATCTCGACATTTATTTACAATTTGTGTCTCTGCCCCTTGATAGCAAAAACAAGCATATGTGGCTCATTACTACATCCCCAGAGGTCAGCAATGTGTGTGACACATGAAAATTCTCAAGCGGTATCTGAAAAAAAGAAACAGGCAGTCTAAAGATATTCTCAAAATTGGGGCTATAGGGGTGTAGCTCACGTGGTAGAGCACTTGCCCAGCATGTGGGAAGTCCTGAGTTCAATCCCCAGTACTACAGAAGCCATTCTCAAAATTAATTGCATAGAAAGTCCCTTGTTTTATGGATGAGGAAACCAAAACCCAGAGTTTAGGTTTGTTACCTAAAGCAGAGTCAAGGTCTAGTTAATGAGAATCTAAGGAGCTCTACCATTTCAGCCACATCTCCAGTCCATTTTGCTCTCATTATTTTGGAGATGGGGGTCTCCCCAGCTATTTACCAGGGCTGTCCTCAAACCACAATCCTCCTGATCTTAGCCTCCAAAATAGCTAGGATTACAGTCATGAGCCACCACACTCAGTCCCTAAGGTGCTTTTACTTCTTTTTAAATTTTTCTTCTTTTATTTTTGTGGTTCTGGGGATTAAATCCAGGGTCTAATACTGTAATGTTGGACATGCTAGGTAAGTACTCTACCACTAAGCCACATTCCCAGCCCAGTGATTTTTTTTTTTTCTTTTTTTGCAGTAGTGGGGTTTGAACTCAGGGGCTACACCTTGAGCCACTCCACCAGCCCTTTTTTGTGATGGGTGTTTTTGAGATAGGGTCTCAGAAACTATTTGCCTGGCCTGGCTTCAACCCTTCATCCTCCTGATCTCTACCTTCTGAGTAGCTAGGATTACAGGTGTGAGCCACGGGTGCCCAGCCCAGTGTTTTAATTATTAACCCTCTGTTGTGTTACCTGACTTAAAATGTCCCTTCAAAGACTGCTTATTTGATCCTTGAGTTAATCCTGTAACAATTTCTGGGAACCAGGAAGGATAGTATTAAACAAGCAACAGGTATTTATTGAGCAACTACCTTGTGCTAGACACTCAAGGCATGGTGATGAGGCTGCTTTCATGGAATTTAAAGTTTACTTCCCCCTCTCTCATCCTGCCTCAGCTTCCTGAGGACTCCAGTTGTGCACTACCATACCTCACTGAACTTGACTAGAAGGAGAAGAATCTAGTGCAGGAAAATATGACCCAGTATTTAGTTACACACTTAAGTAAGTGCTAGGAAGAAAAGCAATAAGAGTTCTTTGTGAGTGTTTAACAGCCCCCCCCCACAACACAACCCTTTCCTGAACCAATGCGTCTAGAATAGCTTCTTTGAGAAAGTGCTACTAGAGAGGCTTTCTTAAAAAGGAGAAGAGTGTGCTCTAGATGCATGACAGGTGCACGAAGGCTCTGTGGAAGGAGAGTTTAGCGCATTAGCGACATTGGACGTTTCCAGTATGGCTAGACTGCAGTCATTGAGGTGGAAAGAAGAGCTGGGTAAGAGCGGAGAATTAGCAGCTTACTGCTGGCTGGGCTACTCTCCATTTGCATCTGCTCTTGTCCCAACAAGCGAGATCAGCCTAACTGGTGTGTGTGGTGGCTAAGTGCACGGCAACCGTGATCAGAGATGGGAAAAACTGAGAGATCAAATGTTCTTTTGGTGAGGCACTAAAGACGCGTCTTCAGTGTCCAAATCTCAGGACCAGAACTCAAGGGTAGCCTAGGAGAAAGAGGAGATGTGAAGCGCCTCCTTTACCGCGCCGTTCTCGCTGGTCTTGGTCAGGCAGCCCGCAAGAGACGAAAAGATGTAGCCGTGCCGGGTGTAGGTACCGCTGCCCGGGCTGCCCTCCTCCAAGTTACACAGACGTTCGCCTGCAAAAAAAAAAAAAAAGAGCTGCATCAGCCACGGGATGCCAGAAGCACTGTAGTGGCCGTCCAGCCGTCCTGTCTTTGTTTCTATCCGAGACTCGGTGAGGGAACCGCTCACTTACCAGGGATGCAGTATCTCACGGGTGGCGCCATGACAGCCGTAGTCCCGGATGAAAACAAAGCCAACTTCTCATTGGTCACATCCAGGCGCAGTTCTCCAGTAAGAAATGCGTCAATTGGTACGTTTGTCATGTGACCCGCTAGAGCACCTCCTTGAGCGTAGACTCCATTTCCCAGGTTGCACCGGGATAAATCCGAGCGCTCCAGGGCTTGTGCTTGCGCTTGCGCTTGCGCTGGTGGTTGAGGATGGGCTGGCGGCGGGACCCGGTCCTTTGCCCAGCGCTGAGGTTGGCGGGCCATGGTGGGTTTGATTGAGCCGGGCCTGTTCCGTGCGTCCAGCTGGAGAAGGTGGCAGTGAGTGACCGCAGAGGCAGCGGGGCTCGATTTGGCTGATTGAGTGGTTGGCAGGCGGCAGGTAAGGGCGAAGCCGCGGCCCGTGCTCCCCGTCTTAGTCCCTTTTTCTAGTGTTGGGCCTGACTCGGGGCCGAATCGTGAGTTCGGATTTTTGTTCTCTCCTCGCCTCGCCCCGCTCCACCCTGCAGTGCCATGCCCTCCTCAGGTAGAAGTGCACCCTCGGAGCAGCCATAGAGCGCGAAGGAAGGAGGTCAGCCAAATCCAACTTCGCCTGTTTCACAGGTTTGGAAACCCAGATCAGAAACATAGTCTGACTGTCCAAAGTTTCAAAGATAATTCGAGATAGTTCCCAGGACGGAACCTAAGTTTTTTGGCCTCCAGTCCATCGCAATTTGACCACGCCGCCCTCATTGGGAGACATCCTTTTCCTGTTTTTTTTGTAGCTGCAACTTCCTGTCATGCAGTCGGATACTCTAATTATGTAGGCCCCTGAACTTTGGATATGCAGCCCCGTGATAAAATTACTATTCCTTTTTTTTTCCCTTTTGCCCAGAAAGGAAGCCTGCATATAAATAATAGTGCTCTTTACTGATGTCTGATATTTCCTGGTTGAGATGGGAAACACGAGAGCAGCGTTTTTGTCAAAATGAAATTTGATCTAGTTTTATCTGCCTTCTAGTAGTTTTGGAATCTCTTCTTCCCTATCTTCCTTTCCCTCCCTGCCAATCAGGTTTCCCTTTGGAAAACAGATGGTGATTCAGAGCCCTGGGATAAGGGGAATGCTGTGACCTGCACTCTCTAATCTCCTGGCAGATGGTCATCATGGCCTGTGGGTACTATTGAGGGATGGGACTAGGCTGTGTTTGTTTTGGGGATACTAGTAGAACTGTGCTTCATTCTTCCTTCCCTGTTCACTCTGAGATTACCCTCTTCCCCTCAAACACACGTAAGTTTTTGAGTTTTGCTTTGCCTTGACTTCTTGACAGGAAACCTGTTTCATTTGTGGCCCTTGGACAACATATTTTTTCCCCCCTGGCATCCCCATTTCCCTCCTATCCCACTAAGTGAGGGGAGGGACCTTGTTTCATACTTGGCTCACTCAAATCTGATCTGTATGCTGCATCTATAAGCTTCTGTTTTCATGTTTGAGTTGATTTCTGGTTGGATTTGTTTACTAAAATAACTTCTAACTCTTGAGTGTTATGATTCTAATGGTTTCTATTTTTCTGTTAATCAGGAAGAATGCTGTCAGCAAACACTTTATTTAGTGTTATCACATTGGCGGGAGTGTCTTTGCTGGTATTTGTAGGACAGATAGACATCTGATCAGCCCTACTTCTGCATCTCTCCAGGTCATTCATTCAACAAGTATTTATTGACTACTTCCATGAGCCAGGTATTATGCTAAGTGCTTTAGAAATATTTCATTCATACCTTGTCAAGTGTATATGTAGAATCATAAAGGCCTTAGCTTTGATTTCTACCCACATTGAATAGGAACACATGGAGATTGAATTCAAGCAGGGTATAAGCAGCTGAGATTTGATAAATCCAGTCCTTGAGGTAGGCATTTCATGTAGAGCTCAGGAATTCAGGAGATAGTTGAGAATAATCTGAAAAATAGAGAATCTGAAAAGGAGGATTTCTTTTTTTAAGACTAGGAGTGGTGACACTGAGGTGGCATATAATTTATGTTTATTACAATGAGGAATGTGTCTGATTTGCATGCTATTGCTATAAAACGTATTTTAGCAAATATGACAGTCTACATTATCCCTAATTAGGGAACGTACAGTTATGTGGACAGTCCAAAAGTCACCTAGATTTGCTGTGGGGCAATCAGTTCTCCCCAGCTCTTACATTTGATTGTGACTATCTACTATTTTGAAAATTCATGTTTCAGCCAAATCATGGTTCCAAACAACAGAAGTCCAACTCAAGAAAAAGTAAAAGTCTAAGCTTTTTGTCTTTTTTTTTTTTTTTTCTCTTTTCTATACTCCCTCTTAATTCTCTTAGCTTCCTAGGAGGTGATGGGAATGGCTAGTTTGTTTATCCTGGTGCAGTTTTAGGTTCCTCCCCAGTTTTCTTTCTTTTTTTTTTTTTTTTCTATTTTATTTTGAGACAGGATCTTATAGCTCAAGTTGGCCCTGAACTCGCAATCCTCCTTCCTGAGCCTCCTTAGTGCTGGTCTTCTATTTTTTTTGCAGGCCTTGTTTGCTGGGTTTCTTTTCATTTTAGGGCTTCAGGGCTCATGAAGCAGGTAATTAAGTATTTTCTTTTGTGGGGATGATCCAGGGTGCAAGGAAAGTACATTGCTCCAGTTACTGAATTGAAACCATCCCTACAGTGAAGCAGCCTCCTCCAGTTTCTGCTGGGTTTTGAGCTGCCTGTTAAATAAGTCAGTGGAGCTGTCAAGGACAAAGCAGCCTTCCCTGGCTGCCTTAGTTGAAAATCAGATATTCTTTTCTGGTAAGGGACTTTAATCTGTAGAACTGGTAAGGCTGTCATGGAAGGAGTTTGTTAGAGCACCTGTGTCCTCAGCTCTAGTCATCGCCTGGGCAGCAAGCTCCTCCCAGCTGTGGAGGAGGTGGCGAGTGCATAGAAATGGAGGCATTTGCAAAGGAACCATGGAGGACTGGAGAACCAGGAGGGCTGGTTGGAAGCTTGGGGCAGCAGCATCTTTAGTTTTTAACTAGAGTAGAGCAGGCCCTTTCCACTGCTGGAATCTTCTGCCTTGGTGTTCTCTTGTTCTGAATACCTGAAGTTGTGGCTACCATATCCTTGGGGTGGGGCTGGGAATGGACTTGGAGAAAAAGCATTTTATGTCATGCAAGGGGTGTGGCTGACTGTCCTGAAGGAGACAAGAAATCTCATGCTACTAGGCTGGATCTGCTGGCCTATAACATCATCCCAGAGGGAGATGGAAGAAGGAGTATCTTGTCCAAGCCACAGATGGCACTAGAGATCAAAGTTCAGAATCCCAGGGTATGCACTTGGTGTTCCAGGGCAGGCCAGAGATCCTAAGAAACACCTCCTACAGTGGCCATGCCAAGACATAGTGGGCAGCTCACGTTGGCTATGTTCCATTCAGTGGTCTGTCTACATAGACAGCTCCAAAGACTCCTTTGACTTGGAGCCACCTGCCTCTCTCTCACCGTTTTGGTGTTGCCTGTTCGGTGTCCATCCCCTTGGATTTTCTGTGTACCCACATGGTGTAAAATATTTTTGAACTTCCATTCCCTGCCTCCTGGAGTCTGGTTGGGATATTGGCACTAGACATCCTGTAGAAAAGCAAAGTGGTCTTTTTTCTTCCCACAGCTGGTGACTGGCCTACCAGGACTCCATCTTGGGTGTTTGCCCCTAAGTTGGTGCTCACTGCTGGTTCTCACTGGTGGGTCAGGGAGGGACAGGACTTGGGCTGAATCCTCACAATGGTATACTCTCCTAGGAGCCATGCGGGGCCAGCGAAGCCTGCTGCTGGGTCCAGCCCGCCTCTGCCTGCGCCTGCTTTTGCTCTTGGGCTACAGGCGCCGCTGCCCGCCTCTGCTCCGGGGCCTGGTACAGCGCTGGCGCTATGGCAAGGTCTGCCTGCGCTCCCTGCTCTACAACTCCTTTGGGGGCAGTGACACCGCTATTGATGCTGCCTTTGAGCCTATCTACTGGCTGGTGGATAATGTGATCCGCTGGTTTGGTGTGGTAAGTGATGGTGCCCAGGAAGCCCAAGAAAAGGGATGTTTTGGGAGAGCAGAGGGATGTGTCTCTGATGGACTTACATTGGGCATCCAGGAAAATACCTGAGTCACATGTGGGTATAGCTCACTATGTCTACCTGACTTCCCTGGTATTGGCAGGTGTTTGTGGTGCTGGTGATTGTGCTGACTGGCTCCATCGTGGCCATCGCCTACCTATGTGTCCTGCCCCTCATCCTCCGAACCTACTCGGTACCACGGCTCTGCTGGCATTTCTTCTATAGTCACTGGAATCTGATCCTCATTGTCTTCCATTACTACCAGGCCATCACCACTCCTCCTGGGTACCCACCCCAGGTGGGTTTCCATGGGGAAAGGAGAAGGACAGAGTTGTAGGCTATGGGAGCCAGTCCCATGAGTGGGAGGGGAGTGCCTTGCAGTCTTTTGGGGCATAAAACTGGTGTTGCTACAGTGGTCATGATGCTCTTCTCCCTTTGCACAGGGCAGGAATGACATTGCCACGGTCTCCATCTGTAAGAAGTGCATTTACCCCAAGCCAGCCCGAACACACCACTGCAGCATCTGCAATAGGTGGGTTTTTGCTTTGCTCTCTGTGAACCCCAGTGGTGGCCCTTCTCCTGTAGTTCTAGAGCAAAACCTGACCCTGAAGCAAAGTTCGTGTCCCAGGCAATATGTTCTCCATCTTCTGACACCTAGTCCTCCGGATGGTCCTATGAGTTAGGCATTATACTCTTGTAGAAACTGAGGCTCAGAGAAATGAATTACCTTGTCCAGTGTCACATAGTAATAAACTACAGACCTGGGTTTGAAGCAAGGCCTGGCTGTCTTCAAAGTCTGTGCCCTTTCCACTCAGCAGGATGCTGGTCCTTGTAGGAAAGGATTGGCACTGACATCTCCAGAACCTTGGCCACCGTAACAGAGCCTGTGTCCCTCCCTCACAGGTGTGTGCTGAAGATGGATCATCACTGCCGTATCCTTTTGCTTTCTTCTGTCCAAGGTCTTCTTTAGCTCCAGAACACTGTACAGAGTTATTGGCCACAAGCCCAGGGCTTCTAGCATCAGTGTGTAGTGAATACTGGGATTATGAGAAATTAGTAGAAGAGGTGTCTTGGGGATGAAACCTCTATCTTCTGGGGTAGGGAGCAGGAAGCTCACAGGCTATCTGGGATGGATCTTTTGGGTGCAGGAATCTTCTAACAGGTCTGTCTTTGGTAGACTGTTGTGCTGATGGGTATTGAGTGGCATGAGATATTTGGGCTCTGGCTGTCCACTTGGGGTGCCAAATTGAACCACAGGTCCCCTTCTGGTGTCCCATATAGTTGTCTAGCTAACCATATAGTTGTCCCTTATAGTTGGAATATTGGCTGGTAAACTTTACTGGCAGTTTTCATGATTTCCTGGTGTGAACTGAGAGTTCTAAAAAGCTTAGGAGACATTCACCTCAATTTTGGGAAACTGTTCCCTATTTTCATGCCTTTGGAAAATAGTTCTTGCTTGGATGATGTCTTGAACCAAGGATGAACCAGAGGGGCCTGGACATCCCTGGAAATTGTATTTGAACTTATCCTTAATCATTCCCCCACCAGCCTGGCTAAACAACTGTGTAGGCCACTATAACCATCGGTACTTCTTCTCTTTCTGCTTTTTCATGACCCTGGGCTGTGTCTACTGCAGCTATGGAAGTTGGGACCTTTTCCGGGAGGCTTATGCTGCCATTGAGGTGAGCATATGCTTAGGAACAGGGTAACTCGGTAGTGCAGAACTTTGGGGTGTGGAACCTTGCCCTAAGGAATGGGGCTGGTAGACCCCTATCCTAGAGTCCTGAGAGTATAACCAGCACTGTTTTCCATCCCCTTAGAAAATGAAACAGCTCGACAAGAACAAACTACAGGCGGTTACCAACCAGGTGGGCTGTCCCCACCCCACTGCCTCCTGCTGCTCAGGCAATGGGCCTGCTAATTTAATAATAGGGACTGATAATAGACTGGATCAGAAATGTTTTAGGGAGGCTACCCTGGGTAGACTCAGGAGCCTGGGGACAAGCTAGAAATCTTTGGTGTATGACAGTTTTTGGCTATCCCGTCACCTCTTTGGGCTGAGCCTAGACTCTGCCTTGGTGATGGCCTGAGCAGCAAGGAGTCTATGTTAGTCTGTGTAAAGGGGCTCCACGGGACAGAGATTGGGTGGGTCCATCTGTATCTGGATCTTCATTCCCTGTGCCTTGTAGGACTCCTCATTCTGAGCACATCTTGGACTTGTACGTTTTGCACCTCTGCTGCCCTTTCAAGTCCTTAGTGGAACTCATGGTTCTCCCTACTCCAGTTAGTCCATGCTGGGTGTGGATCTGGTTCCCTCTAGGGGATGCAGCCCCAGTGAAGGAGTTCTGACTGGAGATTGGAGTGGCTTCCCCTGGAGCCCCACTTGTGTTGTCACCCTAAAGGCCCAGGATGAGCTCTTCTTGTGCTTTGCCATCTTGTCCAGACCTGCCTGCCCAGTGTTTGTCATGTGATGGTGCCCCTGGGCTTGGCCCACCCATCTGGCTGCTACCCTGATTCCTCTGTGGCTTTAATCCCGTTTCTCTGCCTGGGTTTGGATTACTTCATGCCTATAGGTGCAGAGGGCTCTGGCGGCAGTTGCTGGAGACTAAGAGCAAAGAGCCAGGCTTTGCTGTTTTCTTTTTCTAGACTTATCACCAGACCCCACCACCCACCTTCTCCTTTCGAGAAAGGATAACTCACAAGAGTCTTGTCTACCTCTGGTTCCTGTGCAGGTATTTAACTTTGTTTTGATAGTTTTAATGGAGGGACAGCATCAGGAAAACCTTTGTAGGTGCCATGTAGGCAGGAACCCATCCTTGAGAGACCTGTCACTATTCTAGTCTAGCTGAGGTTGGCAAAGAGCACTTTTCTTCAGCATTTTGGGGCAGGGAAAACCAAGGGTAGTAGCATTGCTGGTTACTAAGCACTAAAGATACAAGCTTGTTATATGACAACCTGAGTTAAACTCTTATTTTGTTTATTCCTTGTAGTATCTACTGAACGGAAAAATGAATGCATTTACAGATCAGGAAAACTGAAAAACAGTGAAGGAAATTATTCCATGATACACAGCTAGGAATGGTAGAGCTGGAATGTGAATTTAATGCCTTTTCTGTCCAACCCAGTGCTTTTACTACCCTCTGCTATCTCTTAAGCATGGATATTTAAATACAGAATATTTTTCTCAGTAATACTTATTTCCCCACCATCCTTTCCACATAACTTTTTTTAGCCTACTTGATTTATTTTCACTGATTCTCTTTATAGGTGTCATGAAATACCGGTTCACCTAGGAATAAATAAATACCAAAGGATAAATTAGGCAAAGAGGTCGCTAATCATAGCCCAGCTCAATTTCAAGCCTGTGTCCTTCAACCTTCTAATTTCTACCAATCTTTGCCTCTCTTTTCTTAGTTCTGTGGCACTTGCCCTGGGTGCCCTAACTGTATGGCATGCTGTTCTCATCAGTCGGGGTGAAACTAGCATTGAAAGGCACATCAACAAGAAGGAGAGACGTCGGTTACAGGCCAAGGGCAGAGTGAGTGTGGGAGAGGGCTTGGATGGGCAGGTGGGTAAACTGAACCTGCACCCTGTAAACAGAGGCCATGGCTAACTAGACAAGCAGCACAAAAGGACAGCTTTTGCCCACCTGAGCTTTAGTTCAGTCATTAGCCTCAAAGTTGAGAAGGGCAGTAAGTAGAAGAGGGTTGTAGAAACTTTTTATTTTTCTTGGCTCCAGGTATTTAGGAATCCCTACAACTATGGCTGCTTGGACAACTGGAAGGTATTCCTGGGTGTGGACACAGGAAGGTAAAGTAAGACAGACCAGTGCTGTGTGACAGAACTCCATGAGGAGGAAAATGGTCTATACCTGGGAGCAGAGAATGTGGCTAGTGCCACTGAGTTTATAATTGGATTTCATTTTCACAAGTTTGAATAGCCACATGCGACTAGTGGTGCTTGTCTTTGCACAGTTCTAGACTCCAGGAATAGACATCATTGCTTTAATTTGAACCAACGAGGCTTGAGGCCAAATCTGTGATCAAAATAGCCTACAAGGTTTTAGAATGACTAGAGGAGAATCCTGAGAAAGCCGTCTCAGGAAAGAACATCTAGGTACTATGTAGTAGTCACCAGTCATCTTTGACTTGAATGACAGTGTCTGGAATTTAAGCCAATAATGTGAGACTGAGGTAATCTACTTGTGACAGAGATCCTAAGCAACACATGCAGTTAGCTCTCCCAGCCTGAGACACAGTCATTCTTCACACTGCAGTTACTGAGGGAGTAACAACCAGGTGAGTGGAAGGAAGTACCTTCCCTCCCTCCTTTCACCATCTCGTTCCATTTGCTGCCTACCACTGTGCTTACAGATAATCCTTTAGCTCAAAACCTCAAAAGGGCCAGATATGGTGGTGCACTCCTATAATTCCAGCACCTACGAGACTGAGGCAGAGGATTGTGAGTTCAAGGTCAGCCTGGGCTACACAGCAAGATCCTGTCATAAAACAAAACCCCAAAAGAATAAAACCTCAAAAGGCCTTCAAGACCCCAGAAGGGAGAAGAAATTGGAGCTCTCATTACTTTTGTGCTTGGATGTACGCTTGCTGCAGAATTTACAGGAAGGTCAAGTAAGAACTCTTGGAACTGAGGGACATTTCTGTCTTCTGTTGTAGGCACTGGCTCACCCGGGTGCTGTTACCTTCCAGTCACCTGCCTCACGGGAATGGAATGAGCTGGGAGCCCCCACCTTGGGTGACTGCTCACTCAGCCTCTGTGATGGCAGTGTGAGCTGGGTTGTCAGCTACAACTTGAGTGTGTTCTGCTGCCTGTGTTGTCTCAAGTCTCCAAGGGCAGCTTTTCTTGGAATCCTTCATCAAAAAAGAGCCATTGGGGCTGCCGTATGGTACTGTGCAGGGACATTTCAGAGACCAACCTGTTGACCACACTACAAAAGCAAGACACAATGTAGAAAAATCCTAGGACTGATGTCTCTTTACTCAGGCAAACAGAAGTTTCAGCCCCAGACTAGGGGTCAGGCAATTGGCTACCTTGCCTGCCTCTTCCAGGTCACAGCACTGGGGCTAGCCACCACCTCTTCCACTTTCTGTCTGGGAAAACACCTATCTGGTATGCTGAACTCCTGGCTTCTCAATGGGGCAAAGACATTAGGCCTACTGCCGGTCACTGCCACTTTTGACATGCTACTGAAGGAAGAAAAAAAAAATAAAGGCATTTAATTTGTAAAAGGTATTTAGCTTCTTACTGTTTGCCTGTAGGGTGGGAAGGGGAGGTCAGGGTCAAGGCCTAGTGAGTCATTGTTCTGGTCATACCTCTTATGCTTTGAGTGGTTGGATGCCCTGAACAAACTTGGCTAATTCCTATTCTTACTGTTTTTCTAGCTTAGGCCAGTGATACCTATGGTTAAGTGCTACAGAAGCAGAGGTGGGATGTATGTGTCTGTGTGTCTGATAGTTGGCTCCATTACCAAAACAAATCTTTATTCCTCAGCAGGTAAACACACATCCATTATCCTTGGTCCTTAGGGCCACACTCAACTGCATTCACCCATCAGCAGCTTAGATGGGTGAATGACATAAGATATACTGGGACGGCCCCACAATTCAAGATCTTTCTTCAAACAAGCAGTCTTGTCAGTTACTTCACAAATGTGTTAGAAATCAGGACTCTTTAAGTTTCTTGTACAGCCACACAGCAAAGGCCATTTATCTGCTTGCTTTGGGTGGGATGGCTTGACAGTTAGTAATTCCAGGTTAGATTGTCGGTCAGAAAGGTGTAGGCTAGGACCCAGAGCTCAGCTACCTGGGCTCCCCAGCAGAAACCTGTAAATACAAAGAATGTTTGGCAGCATTAACAATGAGATCAATTGTGGTCCCATATTTCCCAGTGACTTAGAACTCACCATTCTCCCCTGGCTGATACAGCTTCCTTGCGCACCAGTCTCTTCTTGTCATCCAGGGGCTTGGCTAAGGCCCGGATCACCTGTAGTTTGTATGGCAGCAGCTGTGCAGTCAGAGGAGATAATTTTAGCCTTGCTCAACCATGGTAACTGGAAATGCTGCTTCTTTGGCTGTATAATTTACATTCTGAAGAAAGAAATGTGCCTCTTTCTTTTTGGGTTCTGGGGATTGAACCCAGGGCCTCACATGTGTTAAACACATGCAATATGTCAAACTATAGTGATTCCAAAGGATGCCAAGTGGCAGAAGGCTATTCTTCTATGGGGTGGTCAGGATTTACTGGCTCCATTCTGGGTCCAAGAGAAATCCATGCCTAGGTGTACTTTGTAGTTCCTATCTGAATCATTCAACAGGGTAGTTAATCCCACTTGATGAGGGCAAAAACGCATTTCCTTCACTCTTCTAAATGTCTGGTTCCCAGGCCAGGGAGGACAGCTAAGGTACTTACCACAGGAGTGGGCAGGCGAGTGAGAGCATGCATACACTGCAGTGCAGCAATCCGGACAGCCTAGAACCCAACCAGAAGAAGGTGAGGGGAGACCCAAGGAGAAAGATGCTAGAGAGGTGTTGGGGCTCAACGTACCATGGAGGGGCTAGAGCTAAGGTTCAGAAACTTGGTGACCAGGGTGTCAACGTGAAGACTCATGACTTGGGGTGCTTCCAGTAGAAGAGGCTGAAGGCAGCTGAGTGTGGAGAGCTGGACCACAGAGTCAGGGCAGGACAGGGCCTCCAGCAGCAAGGAAAGGAGCTAAGAGGCAACAAGAAATCACCATTTTGTGATGCTCCTGGTTCTCTTCCCAGCTGGCTGAATAGTCTTACCTCTTGCTGAGAGGCTGCTGGACTTACCGTGGGCAGCTCTGGCAAGAGCACAGGCTTGGGCAGTTTGTTGAGTACATGAGACAGACCCTTCAGGTAGTTTGGCTTCACATCTGAAAAAGATGGGCAATTTTAGGACAGGAATTGGGTTTAGACATTCAGCTTGAGAATTCAACTCCAATCTCTGATATCAACCTACAAAAAAGAAGTGGGAAATAAAAGCAAAAAGCCCCTTGAGCTCAGAATAAACAAGACATGCCCATCAAAAGAAAAAGTGGGTGGAGAATCTGGAAATTTGGCTTTCTAGGTACAGATCAAAATATATCTGAAGCATCTGGGCCCTAAATGATTTTAGGGATTGGCCATGTAAAGGTGGGGTCTGTATATCTGGGGCCTCTCTTTCAGACTCTTCTCACCTTGGGGAGCAGCATGGAAGCCTTGGACCAGAGCAGGCACATTGTCTGTGAAGAACCGCTGGCGGAACATGATCCGCACTTCAGCATGACCAGCACGAGTCAGTACATCAGTGCAGTCAGACATGAGCAGAGAGAAACCATCAGCTGCTGCAGGACCTAGTTCTGGGTCACTGAGGAGGCCCATGACCTGGAGAAAGAGCCTTTGAAGTACATCAGGGAGAAGAATCTTAAATACCAAAGAGGGGAATGGAAATTTCTCAGCACAACAGGGTCAACAGGGAAGTTCCTGTTTAGGTCCTAGTTCTCCTTTCTCAGAGGAGACTTACCCGGGCTGTGAGGCAGGAGCTGAGAGGATGGTATCTGAGTACAAGAGCCTTGGTTACCTGTAATCAGAGAGAGGGAGCAGCTAGAGCTGACATTCAAACCCCAGAACCCTAAGGCACAGCTGCTATGTGGCTCAGGGTCAAACAGGGACATTTTATTCTAGTTAGACATAATTGCCTGTGCCTAGCCAGAGTCCACTGTAACTCCTTACCCAGAGTAGCAGTGTAAAGGCCTGACTACGAGAGGGCTGGGAGCCAAGATGGGCATCCACCGTGTCCACAGCCAGCTGGAGGAATTCATCCAACTGCTGTCCTGAAAAGGAAGGAAGGAAGACATGCTGATACAATGTGAAATATTTTTTTACTTTTAACAACAAAGTATGTAAGTGCAGAGCACCTGAAAAGCCATTGGAAAATACATGACCCTCTGAGTAATTTAGGCCCCAATGCTTTAGGGCTACTGTGATCTGTATCTAAAAAGCCAAACTTGCAGATTTTTTTTTGGTAGTACTCAAGTTTGAACTCAGGGCCTCAGTCTTGCTAGGTATATCTGGGTATTTTCTAGATACGGTCTTGTGATCCTAATATCTGCCTCCTGAGTAACTAGGATTACACTCAAGTTTGAACTCAGGGCCTCAGTCTTGCTAGGTATATCTGGGTATTTTCTAGATACGGTCTTGTGATCCTGATATCTGTCTCCTGAGTAACTAGGATTACAGGCATCAGCCACTGGTGCCTGGCAAACCTGTTTGTCAGCAGGGGCTCTGGGAGGCTCCTGACCCAGACCCATCGCAGTACCTGCAGGATGCTTGTTGAGGAGTCCTGCAAAGCACTTGGCGGCAGCAGTGGAGGAGAAGGAGCAACTGTGGCAGCAGCTCAGCTCCAAAAGCTCCCGCATGAGTCTGTTCAGCTGAGGGATTTCCACCTATGGAAAACCTGGCCATGTAATGGACTCAGAAAACCCTTGAGTTCCAAGAGATACCTAGTAAAAAGTGGCAGCAGGGACCAGAATGGACATGAACTAACTTCTTCAGAAGGGAAACTAGCCTGTGGCAAATTCCAGCTTGGGCTCCAACTCCCCAAATGTTTTCACTTACATTTCGTGGCAGGGAGCAAACAAAAGCCATAAGGAGTGCAACCAGACGCCGCTGCTGCAAGGAGCCAGCCTGTAAAGAAAGAAGAGTCATATTAAGCATGTCTTGCCAGCAGTAGGCTTGTTTGCCCCAATAGCTATCCCAGAATAGTCCTAGAAAGTAAGTTTAAAGGATGTAAATTCCAAGATTCTCCCCAATCTGGTCCATCAGACTGTTACCTGGAATGGCTGGAATCTGCTTGAGAAGCTGTTTTCAGGCAGAAAGGAGGTGTTGCCATCTAAGAAGAGGGGCACAATGCAGGTGACACTTTGGGCAGCTAACCTGGGGGCAAAATACTAGGTGTTATCAAGGAGCTAGCATTCTAAAGCAGCCCTCCCCTTATAGAAGCCTTTCATCCTAGCTTCTCGAGAAACAGAGATCAGAACTGCAGTTGGAAGCCAGCATGAGCAAATAGTTCTAAGACCCTATCTTAAAACTATACAAAACAAATCAGGACTGGCTCAAGCAGTAGTAGAGTGCCTGCCTAGATAGTATCTGAACCCCGAGTTCAAACCCCAGTAACTATAAAGAAAAAAAAAAAGTGCTTTCAATATGGGGTTCACTTTAGGGCCACTGAGTCAACAGGACAGGCTATGATTGATTACACATTCAACAAACACTAATTTGACACACATCTTATGCCTGAACCATTTCCACTCTGGACCCTGATAAAATGCATAGTGAACCAGACAGATCAAATCCATATTGTTTTAGAGCCTACAATCTAGCGAGGAGTATAATGTATGTTTTTAAAATGCTCTACATGTGATTCTGCAGCCATGAACCATTGGCCCACTGCTTTACCTATCTGCCTAGTCATGCAAAAAGTCACTATTTTTTGTCAGAAAAACTGATGAGACAGGTAACTGCCCCACATTCACATTATGGGGTCAAGGATGGCTGGCAAGGTAGATTCTGTTGCTTCTCAAGAATCTTTACTTTTTCTCTGGGTTCAGTCACACCCAAGATTATACTCACTCAGGGCTCAGGTGAGTGGTGGCAGTGCCAATGACAGATGCCATGGCGGACAAGACCCCGTCCTCAAGCAACACTTTTCTCAGAACTGGGGGCTCCTTCTCTGTAAAAACAAAACACCAACACATGCACATACATAGAATCTCAAAGCCACGACTATGACTCATAAATGAAAATTAGAGCCAGTAACCCCAGCACTCAGGAAGCTAAGGGAGGACAACTACAAGTTCAAGGATAGGCTGGACTACTGTCTCGAAAGAAAGAGAGGGGAAAAAAACCCCAAAAAAACCTCAATTGGTTCCTATCTTTATCACGATGGGCTCGACTAGCCAAAGGTTTTTTTTTTTTGCAGAAGAGGGTGTACTTGCTAGGCAAGCACTTTACCACTTGATCCACAACTTGAGCCCTTTTTGCTTTGTTTTTTAGATAGGGTTTCATGCTTTTGCCCAGGACCAGCCTCAAACGGGAACCCTCCTATCTCCACCACTGAAGTAGCTGGAATTACATGTTTGTGCCACCGCACTGGCCCCCAGCAGCTATTCCTAATGTGTCCTCTAGGTTTACCTTTATGGGCCTTTATTTATAGCAACTATCCTACTCCCAG